GAAGGTTTAACTTCAAATCTTCAATATCTAAATCAATTAAAAAAATTTTGAAAGAGAGTTGACATTGCGATAAAACTTGGCATCGGATCATGAATATTTAAAAGTGACATTAAACAAATTATTCGAAACTTCAGTCCTAAGTGGTTATTACCTCAAAGGTCCAAAGTCCAAAGTGGGGGCATTTTCAGAAAAGGTTAAAAATAAATAAAAAAAAGGTAATGAATTTAGAAAATAAAAATTCAAAATACATTGTGATAGACTATTGTTTCTCCTTGCCGCTACCTCTGCATTCTATAACAACATGTGATGGCTGCTTTTGGCATTTAAATGTAGCCTTTGTTCAAATTGGTTTTTGCATAATTCAACTAATCTTTTGAAAATGCAAATTGATTGCGAAGAGTTGCCCAATTAATGAAGCTATACGAATGGATTAATGATATCAATTAAGCTGTACAACTGGATTAATTATACACTCATAGGCATTTTCAAAAGGGTGAGGTTTCTATAGGGCCTAGGCTTTATAAAAACAAAATAAAGCCCCATCCCAAATCCTCGTGTGGAAAGTATTTTTGACAATGGAAATCTTTATGATGACTCTAAAATCAATTTCTAACACCGAAAATAAGTTTGAAAACTCAAAAAATGGTTCAAAACTTGCGGATATAAGAACACTTATTTTTTAAGGCAAAATGGACGATCTAGCTAATTTATTATAATATATATTATTTTTAGTGCTTGAAATCCTAATTCTTTTTCACAACCACAATATTCAAGTTGAGACGATCCATGTAAAGGTTTTCCAATGCATGACTTGCAATTTTCGAGGGGTTATAAGGTGAGGACTTACTTATTTTGATAGAGCTGCAGCCCTATTAAACTATTTTCCTTTTCAAAACAATGTTTAACTAACATAGTCTTCAATTAATAAGTACATGAAAATTTTATAAATAAGGATTCAAAATAATGTGTTACAAGATACTCTACTTTTGGATGTTAAATCTTTTTTTTTTCCATATTTGTTCATCTCATATGACCTTTTCGAATGGATTCTTGATATGCACCTTACTTCTGATACCTTATATAAAATTTTTATTTTTATATTATGTTGTGAATAAGCCCTATGTACAGAATAAATAAAGGGAAAAAATCGTCACTTCCGAAAATTTGTAATAGAGATGGATTTTAGATTTGAACAAATTTTAAATCACTCCAGAGACATTTCTGTTTTAGATCCATGAGTTCTGAAACCCAAATGATAGTGCATATCTAATTACGTTCAAGGAATTAAAATAAGGGAAAATTTTATATAAGGTTGCAATTTTAAAATGTAGAAAAGGAATTAAAATACGAGACAAGTTTATATAAGGTTGCAATCTTAAAATGTAGAACTACAGATACACCTCAAAAATCTATTGGAAAAAGTTGTTTTAATATTGAAAAACCCTCTAATTGATCATCTTGACGTCGAGATAAATGACTATGAAAAAAAAAAGGATTTTGAGTCTCAAAAATGGTGCATCTTACAACACATTATCTAGACTATCCATTTTCAAGATTTTCATATATTTATAGATCTACTTGATTTTAATCAATTTTGGAGTCTAAATTTTTAAAATTAGATATGAAAATAAATTTTGAGATAATCTTAAGAATATTTTACATCAAAACTATATGTTATGATAAAATTTGAAGGTGCACCTTAAATGGATTGCTTAAACTTGTAACCTTATCAAAACCACACCCTTAAAATAAACGTCCAAAAAGATAGTTTAAAATAATATTTTTTCTAATTAAAAACGTTTCTTCTTTTTTCTTTTTTTTTTCAAATTCATTATCGTGATTGTCAAAATTATCGGTCTTTGAAATTTCATGCACAAAGTCATTTTAGTATGGACTTTTGAAGAAGACTACATGAGAATGAGTGTGTAGGCTAACGAAGTTTCTCCGTCCCTTTTTCCAATTATTTGGAGACAAATTATTTATGGGGAACCCTACTTAGTCTTTTTCCAATTCTTTGGAGACAAATTATTTATGGGAAACCCTACTTAGTTCATGGGTTCCCAAGCACGATAAGACATACCATTTTATTAATGAAGAGCATCCCGCTTTCTCACTCCCACTCGGAAGTGAGAAGGGGCACAACTTGCTTTGCTCTAGAGGTGGCAATAGACCCAGACCTGACCTGAGACCCTTCGGGTATACCCACCCGGTTTGGGTATGGGTCCAACATTTGGACCCGACAGGTTGGGTTTGGATCCAAAACTTGGACCTGAATACTATTCGAGCCTAGGTACATTTGGACCTGACAGGTTGGGTCTTGGTCCAAAACCTGGACCTGAACACTATTCGGGCCTAGGTCCGGGTCCGGTTGGATCCACCCGTACCCACAAACTGTTGGGGATAATATACTTCAAGCCCTATTCATTTGGGTGTATTAAAGATCATATACAATAAAAACTCGTAATCATATTTAGCTATTAAACGACAAATAAGACGGCTTGAATCTAACAGCAAGTGATTGTGACCTTTTGTCAATAATTTGACTATATGATGGTAAAAAAAAAAGCAGAAAAAAAAAGAAGAAGCTCATAGTGAGGGTGGCAATGGACCTGAACAGACCCGAGACCTGATGGGTACAACAAGTATGGGTCCAGCTTTTAGACCCGACGGATCGGGTCCGGATCCAAAACCTAGACCTGAGTACATTTGGATGTAGATCCGTGTCCAACCGGACCCGACCCATACCCGACATGTTGCCACCCCTAGATTGCTCCACTATTCATGGGAGGCGCCCTTCGAAACCCTACTTATTAAAGGGAAAGGCTCATATAAGGTGCTTCTTGAAAGATATAGTTCTAATATAGGAAACCTTACAAAGGCGTGAAAATCCATGTTTCACTCTAATTATAAAATTTAAATTTTCAAAAATGAATAGGCGGTCTAGATAAGTTATTACAATATACACTATATTTAGGATTTGAAAATTCTTTTTTGTTTCTCTTTATATTGATGCAACGGGGTTTTTAAATTTTACAATTTTTAGCTTTTTAGATTTTAGGATTATTTGGGTTTTGAGATTCCTTTAATTTTATTTTATTTTTTTTTAAAAAAGATAGATATGGATAAAGATTAACATGGTTAAGTTAATTAGGATACCTTATCATTGTTTTTAAAAAATATAGGAGAGAGAGAATTTAGTTTTCTATTTTTATTTTATTTTTTTTATTCCTTGTCATTTGTATTTAAAAAGAAGAAGCCCCTTCTTTGTAGAGATAGTTATTGGAAAAAAAAAAAAAATTTGATTTTATAAAAAAATCTTCTGTAGATAAAATCTTTTCATAGCAAAATCAAACTTTCTTTATTATCTTTGCAGAGACGTATTTTTCTTTAAATAAAATTTAATAAATAATAAATAAAGTAAAATAAAACAAACTCACAAAACTCTCCCTGAATCCTACATTTTTCTCTCCCTATCTTCTCTCTCTTCACCTCACTCAACACAAAATCTTATACAAATCTCTTTCTCCCTCAATCCCATCACGAGTCCATGAATTTAGAAAGCTCCCCACGCCATCACTCAATTTTCCTAATATCTTCCTTTCCTCTCTCCTACACCATGCAACCTCACATTAAAACCAAATCTAATCGCATCCGAACCAATCCAATCACCCTAATTCTTAACCATCTCCTAAAAACTCACGCTAACCCATTTAAAAAATACTTTTTTTATTTACATCATATATCCATACATCTTGAGATTAACATGATCAATAAGAAAGGTTTTCTAACTTTAAAACATTATTTTTTGAATTTCCGATGTCCATGTTACGTTTATAGTATCAGATTGCAACCTTATATAAACCTTTTTCCTTATTAAAACACTACCACCAAACAAAATAACTCAAAAAAAAAAACAGAAGAGAGAAAAACAGTAGAAAGGAAATAATCTTATTTTCATATGTTTCCTTGATTATTTAATAGATTTCAAATTTTAAAAACTGGATTTACTTAATTTCATATGTAAATTACAGGAGGTCAACTCACCAATTCAGTCAAGAACTAACTATTGCTGACCCGGCGATTTTCAAACGCTAGGCCAAAGAAAGAGTAAAATCAATAATTAAATTGGACGTTCCGCTTCTTAAGGGAAAACTCAATCCATATGACCAGTCCTCCGTACAAAGAGACTCCCGAACTTGAGCAAACCAGACTGGCTTGAAATCTAAACAAGTATTCTGGTTAATTAATGATAAAACAGGTAAATTTGTGGAAGCATTTCTTAATAAGTCGAGGATATAGTCAATTTGAGGAACTGGATAGACTTCAGGCTCTAAGCAGTCTAGGGCTGCAATGGGTCTGCTTAGAGCTGCAAATGGGTCAAAGTCCTGGTTGGATCAATCCCTTCCAGGCATCAAAAAGAGCAGGAGCCCACCGCCTTGGCCCACTTTTAGGGTCCAAACTCAGACCCAGATCCAGACCCAGATCAGGCTGGGTGACCGAACAGGTTGCCCTAACCTGTTCAGCAGCCTCGAACAAAGGTAAGTAAGAACTGCTTAGCAGTCCCACCAATCACTAAGAAAAAACCCCGCACAGAGACAAGTAAGAAAGCGTTCACAACAACTACAAAAATAGGACAATCAAATAGACAAGAATGCTCAAGATACCAGTTCCCAGATCCCATTTTGGAACTACCAATTCCAAACCACAATTAAATACAGATAATCAATGCCAGTCATTGTAGAATAGACATAAAAGGGAAGGCTTCTTCAACATAATTACATGCATATACACAAGACAAACGAATTTTAGATTATTTGCAATCTTGATTTTGTGAGACATGGAAATCATGATCAGCATAACTATCCCAAATCCTTGCAGGGATTGTCACAATAGCTGGCCCTTCAAGCATAAAAATGATACTTCAGCAGTATTTTTCATGTTGGGCCTGTAGAGAACGATGTAGTGGACTCCGCCTTTCCATGTCCTTGATGTTGAGATAAAAAACCAGTCACAGTCCAAGACATACAAATTCTCAAGTTTAATACATTAGAATCTGTTCAATGTGCTCCAAAGAATTATATAAATGAACTCTAGGTTATAGCAGAAGAAATTACTATGCAATAATTGCTAGCTTGAAAGGAAAATTACTACCAAATAAAATACACTAATCATAAAGAATAAGGTATTAACAGGATCCAATATTTACAATGGAAACTACAAACATATATAGAAACAAAAACAATTCCTCCCTAATAGGGAAAACACAAAGAACTGGAAAGGGAATGGGAGTAAAACATAATCTTTGTAGAATCCCACTGTGTAAGGAGTACCATTCGCAGGTCAACTTGGGCTGGTTTCCTCGCATCAATTCAGACTTTGCAGCTAACTTCATGAGAAAAAGAAAAGAAAACAGAAGAAGGGGAAGGGATATATTTTTTAAGGATGTGATGAATCATTCTACACAGACCCTATTTTTGAGTTTGTCTCCCAAATTCAATAGCAGGTCCAGCCAAAGAGCATTTGCTACAAAGTTATGCCGTTTTGTTGGTTCCAGCCATCGAGGTGGGAGCCTCGGTTTCATGGTGCCCTACACACATATACATGCATATATGTGCACCTATGCAGTTGTGCTACTATTTTATATAGCACAAGAGTTAATGTCTTCTCAGATTTGGTCCCACCTCGTGTTCATAATTTGATTGTGCTCCAGAAAAGTGCTTTGATACCACTTGCATAGATCCCATACATATATAGAAAAGAAATGCTAAAGTTGAATAATAACTTTATTAGATAGCCTCTTCATAGGCAAACCTCCTTACAAGTCACTTTGAGGGGGGCTGGTTCTCCATTAGGGCTTCTCTCTAATTCTCTCTCTCTCTCTCTACATATCTCATAACACCTTATTTGTCATCTCTAACCTACTAGAACCTTAACCTTAACTTTGAACTCCTAATCACTATTAAAAGACAAATCGACCTTGTCCTTATCCATATTCTATCTACTCCCATATAAGGAAGTAGAAACCCAACTCAACTCCAACGTACCTACCTAACCCAAAACCTAATCTTTTCCTATTTAGAATATTTAGATAATAGTTTCCTATTTTAAATATTTCCTAATTGCAACGTTCGTAACAGTTCTACACCGAAGAGAAAAACCACCTCTTGACAGTCTTGAACCACCACTTCACGATCCACACTCCTAGGCTCCGGAAAGAGGCTTTAAAGAGAGAGAGAGCGAGAGAACACCTGAAAAAGTAAGGGGAAGGGAAACTTTCCCAAAACCACCTATTTCCTTTCCTCTGGGTTATTGGGGGGAAAAAAAAGCAGTATGTTTTGAGGTATGAGCCAATTTGGAATAAAATGGTAATTTACTAATTTTGACTCCTTGCCATCTTGTAATGAGCTGCACATAGCACATAAGATTATTTGGAATAATAAATATCTGTTTTACGAAAGATCTTGGATATCCTTTTTGACTGATTTCCCCATACTTCATGACTCTTCACTAGAATCTCCCAAGGATATAAATGTAATCCCAGAGGTGGAGAGAGAGAGAGAGATAGATCTTGGCACGAGAGGTGCTTGTTACTCATGGCCCCGCAGGAACCTATGGGTCTGTAGTTTCAGTGCCATATTCTATGCTGGAAAATAACAAAGACCTGATGTTTGGATACGGACAAAGCAACTACAATAAAAGGTTGAACAACAAAATGAAGATTCTTGAATTTTAATCTATTGCTAAAAGTGAGGAGTTTTACCTTCAGTTGGAGACCAAGTTAGCTCAGAATTCATTCATTATTCAAATTTCAAGAAGCTTATATTCGCTTTATCTACTGGAATAAGTTGTGATAAGAATAGGAGCATTTAATGAGGCAGTTAAGTAGAAAGATTCTTTTAGTAAAGGTGGACATTAACCACATTTTTCCATTTAGTCCCAAATTTTAATATAGGAGAGCATTTTAAACGCTAGTTTTCTTCATAGTTCATATTTAAGGCGGATGAAAATGATGGATACCATATCAAGCAAGGTTACTTTCACAAGCAGTCAATTATCTCCCCCCGCCCCCCCCCCAAGAAAAAAAGGGAAAGAAATAATGTACCTTTACACAAAGTTTGAGATCAATTGGATCTTCACTCTAAATGTTGAGAGAGACACAAGATACCATATCAAGGTTATTTTCAGAAACTGCGAGATAAATAGGATGTAACTGAGGTGCTACCAAGTTGTCATTGCAATTAACATGTCCAATCATTTTTGCATTTCTTTGTATTGATTAATGAGAATTAGTTGCATATTTTCAAATCATATTGAGGCATGACTTCGATTACTTTAATAATTATTTTGGTTGCAAGGCACCTTATAGCATTCAACCCTATGGACTTTCAAACAATGAAGCTTTGCATCTCTCTCTAAAGAGAGTAACAAAGACCCTTTTTTTTGGTGGGGGGGGGGGGCGGGGGAGGTTTCAGTAACAAAGACTTCTTACTTGAAAGAATTGACTCTAATTCATCAACTTACTCCTAAAGGCTGATTATGCTAGCATCTTCAGTATTTTGAAGCATGAAGCCACTAGTACTATGCAAAAACTAGGGTATCCATTCTAACCTAAGAGAGGGGGGCACCTATACTTGTACAACCTTTTAGTACTTGTCCTAGGAAGCTTGAAAAGTTGGATACGGATCTGATTATAAGGAGATATAATACCGAGGAGGCAATAACAGAAAGACACTACAAATCAACATCAGTATATTTGGGCATGGAAATAAAACAAAAATTAAAGATTGAAAATTTACCACTCCTTTCATAGCTTCAATGCTCATACATGCATGGGATCTTGAATTTAAAAAACCTGACTCGCTTAAGTGGACTTGGTTAAGTCAGTTTATTCAGTTGGCTCACCCTGATACTCATACAAACTTGTTTCTTATATTTCTTATTTCTTAAATTCTGGGTCTTGACCCTCATGAATCTGATGATTAGGCCAACCATATCAAAAGTTAAACCTAATGAAGAGGTGAGCAGAGTAACTTCACTTTGAGTCCCAAACTAATGAACTAAGCAGCAAAGACACTTGGTTCAGATAACAGCAACATGTCTAGTATACCAAGCCATATGCTCGTAGATTCAAAAACACGTCTAACTGATGGTAGTAAAACCTCTATAGCTCATAATTTGATGTCCATCACAGTATTGGTCTAGTTGTAATTCACTTGATCAATATCATGCATTCACAAGGTAACATAAAAATTAAATCCTAACACCAGGAGGAATTTTCACTGCGGCTTGCAATGTGATATTGAAGTGTTGATGTGCTGATCATGGAGTATGCTTCTTAATAACCAACATTCCATGATTCCATCAAAGAAGAACACCTTTTAGTTACAAAATAATCCACAGCATTAACTTTACCTCATCGATAAAAAGTAAACAGACCGGTACTTAAAAAAGTAAGCAGACCAGTACTAATCAAAATCTGCACATCATTCATAATATATACGACAAATTTAAAATATAATCAACTTCAACAGTTTCTTGGGATTCCATGTCCATAACTGTTTGACAAGATATCTACGTGTGTGAGACACACTCTCCTTTAACATTAAAATGAAAGTGCCATGTGGTTCACATATCACAAAATGTCTCAAGTTCCGCCTTTGAAAGCATTTTCTAAAACAAATTTGGTTTAGTCTTCGAGATTTTGGAACCATCAAAAGGCTCTCTTACAAGGCAAATGGCCTTAACAACTGCATACCAGCTCAGCTAAGCATGTGCTCTTACAAAAGACAGACCCTCGATGAGTTCTTTTGCCACGCATAAGACAGGTTTTCCACTTTTTTCAGCAACATTTTTTGCTGTAGTGCAAGTATAAAAGGTAAACACAAATCATCAGGAAGTAAAAAGCTTTACCATGTAAGTTAACAGGAATGTCCTGCTGCGCCATATTTGAAAAACCAATAGTATCACCCTGTAGCCCACAATCATAAATGTCTTCCTTTTTCCTGCAAGGCCAAACATCATTGTATAGTGGCCTGCCAACAACTAGAACAGGATAACAGATGGGCAGAGTTCCCCAAAAACAGTCATGTTTGAGCAGTTACATATCATAATTTAATACAAATCAAAAGGTTCTGCTCAGTCTGAAAGTGTGCAACAAAATAAAGCAACAGTCATCAAGTGAAAATTCTCCAAATACTTCTGGTATTATTGTGTTTGCCAATCCCTAGTCTTTTTTGGAGTGATATTATTGAGTAAGATGCCTAGCATGTTTGTCAGAAATAAAAAAATAACAAAACATATTATATAACATAGATTTAGACTGTATTCATGCACATGGTAAGTGTCACGTGTGTGTGTGTAAAGAGAGAGAGAGAACGAGGAGAGAGAAAATCACTGATTTTCTATGAGAGTAAATTAGCGGTAAAAAAATCAAAGAACAGTAACTTCAATTACTTGAAGCACACCAATGAGGGAGCAGGTGCTCACACCCGTGTGCAGAAACATGCATGCTAGTGTAGGTTTCATTGAACGAATGAATGTAGACCAAATTTCACCTCCTTTTTTGTAGAGAATTATTTCACTGCACATGCATGGAGACACAAGCAAAACATTGCCCATCACCACACAAAAGCACATGTACACACACATGCAAGCATACCAACACAGGCAGATAAGTGCACATATTAGCACCCATTCCACTGCAGAAGAAAGAAGGATTTCCTAAAAGAACAATGGTATTAAGTAAATCCACACCTTTCACTTTCTGAGGTTGCCTGACTATTTATAGAAGAGCATAAAACAGGATCTGCTGTTAAAGATATTCCTGCTTTCGGGGAATAGATGCCTCCTACCTGTTACTCATCCAGATGAAACTACAACATAGAACAAACAAACTATGCCATCTACAATCACCCACAATAGCAAATACTTAAATACTAGTAATATCAGGAATTACTAACTTACTTCTGGTATTTTTTCCTTCCAGCCAGGAATTTTGTCAGAAAGTAGATCGATATATTGCTCCATTGCAACCTCTGGATTCATGATCCCCAATCGTTGCCAAGCATTCCTAGAAAACATAATGGGTCCCATTTAGTGTAGTCAAGATTGAGATCTGGATAATAGTTCCCAAGACTCAGATTCAAACATTAAGAAAACAATTTTGTGAGTGGAATTTCAATATATAGAATCTTATGTGATCTTATGATACATTATATGCTACAATTCCAATAGTACATTATATGTTACAATTCCTGTCCATGGAGAGCAGAAGATTTCAAGCCATTTTTCCTAGTTTCTCCATGATAAATCATAACCAAATTGAAGGAGACTAATTCTAAGAGTTGCAGCATTTTTTTATTCAATGGTGCTTACTTCATTGAGTGTGTACACCATGTCCCAATAAAAGTTCCCATATTGATGCATAAAGGGCTAACTTAAGAAGCTTTACGCTTTTGTTGAATCTGAATTGCATCCTCGATTGTTTTCTGTTCCAACTAAGGGTTGCAAAGATTCTCTTGATTTGACTTCCAGAGTCAACGTAAGATCAAGGAAAGGCAATGGAAGAACCATATCAATCTTGAAAGTCATTATATCTCATAGATATGTCAATTATATCTCGTAGAAAGGTTCTTGATCACAATTCCCTTGGTTTTTTCATCCATTCTTCATTACATGTATTTTAAAACTTTAAAGGCCACTAAGGAGAAAGGTGGTGGAGAAAGAAAAATCAAAGTCCCCAACATGGGTCAGAGGATTTCCCAAAGATGCATACCATGATTTGATACAAGTAGTTTAGCACTTACCGCACTTATGGCATATATATTTTATTTGAAAAACAGAGTACGAAAGCATCCAACCATATAATGAACATTTAATACCGATTCAAGAGATTACAGATAATGCATGACAAAATAAAGGAGAGCATCATTCTGAACAAATGCACTACACAAATAGGATTGAAGAAGAGATTGTAGAAGAGATGAAGCATGATAATCCTGCAGCATGCATGGACCCTTAGTCATCCAGCCTGAGGAATACTTAATCCAAGAGACCAGCCAGGAAGATGAGCTGCAAAAGATATATTTAAGGTGAGTACATTTTTTCTATTTTCTCTTGAGGTCTTTTTGTGGTGCAAGTTTTTATTTGGAAAATTGCTAAGGGGCATCCATTTCTCTCGAGGGTACAGTTGTTTTCATATGTAGTGGAAGATAATTTTGAGCATACACATGGTTGTTTATTCTTGGTTTAAATTTTTTAGCTAAACAAAACACTAATATTTATAAATCTGGAATCATTCATTAACCTATTATATTCACTACGTGATGTGCCAATGTTTAGCAGAAAACAATGAACGTAACCATATAGTCAACTCCTCTATGCTTTTTTTTTTTTCATTTCTAGATGGTTCAACATCTATATATGCTTTTTTCAACCATAAATTACAAGACCGGATGAAAGAAGGAGATAAAACAAATACTATCACCATGTAAAGTGGTAAAAGAATAATAATGACTCAACAACAAAAAAAAAGATCAGTCCAAAAACAAAATGAGTTGTGAACTCCAAGATCTCTTTAGAGGACTCCACAGCTGGCACATGAAATAGCTGCTATATTGTATTGCCTAGTTACTCATAATCAATCTTTTCATTCATGTGCTTTTATGTTTAGGCCTACAACATATAAAGAAGCATCCACTTAAACCTATTGGCAAAAGGCTAAGCATGATTAAGCTTTCTTCTCAACATCAAAAGAAAATGAGGATTTGAAAAGAAAAGAGGTCATTAGGTGTATATGGTCTAGAAAATTATGCTCAAGCAAAATGGATCTTTGGAATGATGGTTGGTAGCATTCTCTATACTTCTGAATATTGGATCCATTAAAAGGACAATTTGTAGCCAAGGTAACCACAATGCACAAAGTGATGGCAATAGTAAGGAAATACTAGCCATAATTTGAACTACTTTTGAACATGATTTATATGGTTGTATGGTACCACAAGTTGCTTAAGCAAATATATTGGATACATTCCTGATGGGTCACATCTTATGCACAATAAAAAGGCCAGCACATTCCTAGAAGTGAATGTTAAGTTGTTCGCACATGAGAGTGGTGAAATGCACAATACAACTTATGTGGAAAAGAGTGACAATTATCAATAAAAAAAGCAAAAAAAATAAATGATATAGATATTGATGTTTTGTTTAATTTAGTTTGAGCATGAATTCCTAGATCCATGGTTCCATTAACTATTGTTTCCCTACTTGAACCAGTTTCTGCATTGCAAAGTATGATAATTATATATTTTTTTGGGGTAAAAGTATAATCATTTTATAGGTCACAAGAAAAATATATTTTCTGTTGGCTGGAGAACAAAACATCACTCGAAATGGTAACCAATCTGTTTTGCCTATGCAGTTCAACTTGAGGGGCCCTAAAATTGAGGACCCACGTCAGATTCTTGTCTATTATCAAAATTGAAAAGAAAGGTGGAAAGAAATAAAGATCCTAAATCATCATTTGAAAATTTAACCATCATCTTTTTTATTAACTAAAAATATTAAATAAATAAATAAAAAACCTACCTATCCTACTAAACTTGCATAAATTTGTCTGAATAAACACACATTTGTCTGAATAAACACACAGGTATAGGAGCCAAAAGACGAATTGGACACATCAAAAGAGACAAAATGAATTATTCGCAGTTTACTCCACTTCCATGTCTCAATACTCATGCCTCAACGCCTAATAAATACACATGAATTTTATCCATTTCCAAATGATGTTGCTGAATTCAGGGGAAAGAAAACGTTTATTTCAGGCACCCACAACACCACAAAATTTAACCCACCCAAAAAGCATCAAGAGTCTGCCCAATCAAAATATCATTCCATCTAAATATCCACCAATTTCTAAAGTAATAAAAGAATTCATAAAATACATCGTCCCATTGCAAATATCCACCAATGTTTTTGTTTTCAATTACTCAACACATTTGTAAAAGATACATAATAGCTTAAAGTCCAAATAATTCTAAGACCACATCACATATATCATTTAACCCAAGCCTTAACAATCAAGCACCCTGCTTTGATATACTTAATAATCCAAGAGAGATGGAATTCAATAAGGAAAACAGAAAGTACCACTTTGCACGAGCAGAGATCTTGAGAGCTGAGGGTTGTGATCCATAGCAGGTTCCCTCTGTTGCAACTTTATGAAGACCATACAATTGCATTTGCACATCGCTCCCCACCCTTGATAGCAATTCATTACTCTCTGATTCGACAAATTTTGATGCAACAGCAAAGAGCTTCTCGAGATCGCTCCGCTCGATCCCTTCCCATTCTTCATCATCACCAAGTAAGCTCTCTCTCTCGTTTGCTCTCAAATTGTTCACTTTATCATCTTCAGAGGCTGGTTCTCCTTTATCCTCTAAAAGCAACTCCTCTTTCTCACCAGACGTTTTCTCTTTCTCTATCCTCTCTTCTCCAAAGCCAGGATTTACATGTTGAGTTCCATCCTCTGTTAGTTTCTCCTCGACCTCAGAGACCTTTACTGGTTTCGATTCTTCCTTTTCCAATTCTAGTTCAGATTTGATAGCATCAACTAACTCCGGTTCTTCCTTTGAATTTTGTTCAAATTCACAAGGTTTAGTATGCTCTTGTTCTTCTGTTACAGATGGCACTGGTTCAGGGTTTACGTCACCAACCGTTTCATCTTCAGTCAAGGTGTCCGTCAAAGTCTCTAGGTCAAGTTCTTCAGCAACTAGGAATTTTCCCTCTCTTTCCAGAGATCCAAGGTCTAATTCGTTTACTGTATCCTTTTCAGGAGATTTTTTGGCCAAATTTAGGGCAAATTCCTGCACATTTACCATTTCCTCAGCCAAATCATCGCCATTTTTATCGGGATTTGTTGCAGAAGCAGACTCTACGTTTGATCCTTGCAGTGTCGAGGTGTAATTAAGTTTAGAAGGCTCTTCCTCTGATAATATACGTGTGTTAGGCTTAGAAGCATTCGACGGAGGGCTTGGATCATGTTCTCCATTAGAATCGGAGACGAGTTTTGCTATAAGAAAAGCGAGAACCAGGGAAATAAAGGCGGTTATAAGAAGCTCCTGTAATATCTCCATGCTTACTATTCACAAAACAAACGCAGAGAGCGAATACCGGACTGTTTCAGAGAGAAACGCTTATTGAGATAGAGAGAGAACCTCCTTGATCGAAGCAGGCAGAGAGAGAGAGAGAAACCTGGCAGCGAGAGAGTAATTCGGGTTGATTAGAAGCGCATAGAAAGAGAAAATGTGTTTATTGAAGTAGGAAGACAGAGCCGATTGTAACGCAGAGAGAGAGAGAGAGAGAAGTTAATTCAAAGAGTGACTGAAATGAGAGACCCAAAAAGATGAGGACGGGGGTCTAGAGAGAGAGAGAGAGAATTGAAGCAGAGAGAAAGTAGAGGTAAAACTGAGGTAGAGAGAGAGAGAATTGAAGCAGAGAGAAAGTAGAGGTAAAACTGAGGTAGAGAGAGAGAGAATCACAGAGAGAGAAAGTAGAGGTAATTCAAAGAGTGATTGAAAGGAGATGCCCAAAAAAAGAGAGGAGGGGTCTAGAGAGAGAGAAAGTCCGGGGTAATTCAAAGAGGGATTGAAAGGAGAGGCCCAGAAAAATGAGAGGAGTCTAGAGAGAGAAAGTCGAGTTAATTCAGAGCCAAAAAGATGAGTGCAGGGTTGTAGAGAGAGAAACCGCAGAGACTTGCGTGAGGAGTTTAACACTCTTTATCTCTCTCTCTCTCTCTCTCTCTCTCTCTCTCGTCGAACAGGCAGAGGAGAGAGAAAGAGGAGGAGAGAGCGGGAATGGACCTTTGAGCTTGGCGGGTATATTCTTTGCATCAAGTTGGAGCCACGGCATCGATTTGAAGGACACTCGTTGTAAATCCAACAAACATTTGTCCTCTATACATTTAACCCACGACCCCCAATCTAACGGTTGTTACGGTTTCGCATCATAACGTACGTTTCGTCGCAACAAAAGCATAGCAGCTGCTTACAATTTATGTGGAGTACCATGGACGTTCGAAAAGTGGCGCATAAATCGGAGTCTCTCTTTAGATTTGGAACTTGTTTTTATACTCCTCATTGAAGTTATCCTATTCTTCTCATTCTCTTTCTTCTGTCTTTCTTTCTTTACGTGGAGTAAGAGAGCACTTGCGATATTTAAATGAGTTGAATAGGGGAGCATTTGTTATGGATATGATTGCCACCTATTATTATAATTGGAAAACGGGGAAGTGGCCTTCGGATGGCTGAATTTTTCGAATTTGTCCTTTCCTTTTTATTCTTCCTCTTGAGTTTGTTTTTTTGGAAAATGGTTTGATAGGGATGCACCCCTATCAAAATAAGTAAAGCCTCACTTAATAACTCATCCAAAATTACCATTCAAGCGTTGGAAATCTTTTACTTCGATCATCTCGACTTTAATATTATAGTTGTGAAAAAAATTACGATTTGAAGCTCTAAAAATAGTGTATACTGTAACAAATTATCTAGACCGTCCATTTACCTTTAAAAATAACTGTTCATAGATCCGAAAAGAGCTGTACTTTTTTTTAATTTTTAATTTTATTGTTGGTATTGAAAATTGATTATAGAGCCATCATGGAGACTTTCTTTACTGAAAGTGCTTTCCGGACAAAAATATGAGGTGGGGCTTTATTTTGTTTTTATAAAGCAAGTTCTTATAGAAACATTATCCTTTGTTTTTTTTTGGGTAAGTATTATTTCTTGGGTTCTTCCCGCCTATATGCAGTGGAGTGGAGATTGAAGTTTAGGAACTAAGTCAGTTTTTTTTTTAAGGAAAATTACAAAATACACTCTAAAATGGGCTATCTATGCAACTTCCCAATTTTTTCTCTCATTTTTTTCTCCAACACAACATTTCCTTGCAAAAACCTCCAAGGTAAAAAGTTGTTCTTTCAAATCAATTCGTGGGTCCCAAGTAACGTGTGCGGAGCGCGTCTTTACATTACCAGAGCGCGTTCTCATAAAG